GATTTAGGTTTAGAAATAAAATTTAGCAACATACTATATGAATATGGCTGATTTAAAAAGGAATGACAGCAGAAAAGCAGAATGAAAATGAGGTAAACTGATTAACCATTATACTGGTCACATACTTAGAATAAAATTAGTGCCATAGGAACTGAATTCAGGTCTTGACTTTGTTTTTCAACTACACGAATTTTTGTCATCAAAATAACAGATCTGCATCCACTTATTAGTAAGATGGAAATTTTCACTTACCATATGTATTCACATAAAAGTTGGGTCCAACTGTAAACAACCAGACCCTGACATGCCAGGGAATTATGCATGGTAAGATCAAAGTTTATATTATTTTATTTCACTGATTAGTCCTAAACAACTGCATAGACCCCTAGCTGCAGGCACATTATAGGAGGGCAGATCTGGGTCTATTCTGTTTGCAGTTATATCCAACTTATAAGCAAGCACACACAGTACTTATTAGTCATGTTTTACACCAGCTAACACTGTACCTATTAGTCATGTTTTACACCAGCTATGGAGCCATTAGCTGTAGCTTACCATATGTACTTGCTTATTAGTCAGCAAACAATAAAGCTAGTGATCTGCCATTGCATAATGCATATGATCAGGTTATGTGTTGTTTGTTCTATTGATTACTCAAAAAAAACTGCACTACAGTATGCTTGCTTGTAAGTTGAGTCCAGCTGCAAACTGCACAGACTCAGACCTGCCATCACATACTGCTTCAGCAGATTTGGGTCTCTGCAATTTGTCAGGAGTACTCAGAAGAACAAACAACACAGACACTGATCTGTGAGCACATTATGTAATGGCAAATCAGAGTCTATGCTTTTTACAGTTGGACTTGACTTATAAGCATGTATATAGAGTAGCCAAAAAAAAAGAGTAAGAAAACTTGATTCATATTATGGTCACAATGACAGTTAATCTCTCCTCAAATCTGCTCTAGGAAAAATCTCTTAATCTACTTAAAACCAAGGCTTCCTGACACAAGTCTTAAGATAAGTATGGATGGGATTTGATGCCAATCCAGCAATCCAAGAGAAAATCACTTCTTGTGATCTCCAATCTGAACCTGTGTATACATTTTCTGTATTTGAAGTAACTTGAACTGCTGGTGCAGTATGTGATAGCAGAGCTTGTTCTGTGCAGTTTGCAGCTGTACCCATCTTATAAGCAAGTATATACTGTAGTCTAGAGGGCTTCTTGTGTTTAGCAGTGTATGCAGTTATTTGACCACATGGTAATTTGGTGACACAAATTACTAACTACATGCATTTACTTGATCCAAGGTCAGTTTGGTCAAACCAATTATCACTATTATTTAATACAAAAAAGAATATATGTGGCCTGCAATTAAAATATTAACTTGAAAAATCAATTACCTACATTATCATTTTAATGATCCTGACAATAAAATAGACATTTGAATACATAAATTTTTTGAGATTTAATAAATGCTCCTGTTCCTGTAAACCTTTGAGGAATATTTGATAAAAAGTCAATCAAGCAGATGGTCTGATATTCAATTGGATAACATCTGCCTATTAACTTAATATAAGGCAATTGGTTAAGAAATCTTAGTACATGTAGTATGCATTCTGTACAAGTTTTTTTTCCAATGTTGTTGATCACATACATTATGAAAATAATAGCTTCTAGATTTTTCTAAAGTGTTTAGATCTTTATCCATAACTTATGGCACATCAACAGTATTTGTCCATCCATAACTTATGGCACATCAACAGTATTTGTCCATCCATAACTTATGGCACATCAACAGTATTTGTCCATCCATAACTTATGGCACATCAACAGTATTTGTCCATCCATAACTTATGGCACATCAACAGTATTTGTCCATCCATAACTTATGGCACATCAACAGTATTTGTCCATCCATAACTTATGGCACATCAACAGTATTTGTCCATCCATAACTTATGGCACATCAACAGTATTTGTCCATCCATAACTTATGGCACATCAACAGTATTTGTCCATCCATAACTTATGGCACATCAACAGTATTTGTCCATCCATAACTTATGGCACATCAACAGTATTTGTCCATCCATAACTTATGGCATATCAACAGTATTTGTCCAATAATTAATAGCTACTAAGCCAGTATGTTATCTGTCAAAGTTGGTCCAATTATGCTAAGTAGTTTTGTTACAAAAAGGTGGATAAAAGTTTTCTGTTTTGAGTAACAGCAGCCATATTTACATCACTGTTATAGATTTAAAAGTCCTTCATATCTAGATGCTTTCTGTCAAAAATTTGGTAACATTCTGTGAAGTGGTTTTGAGAGGAACTCATTGAAAAGATGTTCTATTTTAGATAACAGTGACCATATTCTATGGTGAATTTACATTATTCAAAAAAATTTATAAAGTTTCTAATGCCTGACTATTTTTTTATCTAATTTAGTGAAATTATTGTGAGCTTGTTTCTGGAAATTTATTTATATTATTTTAATTTTATTTACAGTAATGGTGGCAGATAAGCAACATTTGTACAAATCAGAAATGCTGCAGGCCTATGTCCAGGCAAGCTGTACAAATCAGAACGGCTGTAGGCCTGTATTCAGGCAAGTTGTAGAAATTGCAAAGGCTGTAGGCCTGTGTCCATGATAGCTGTAGAAATTGGAAAGGCTGTAGGCCTGTGTCCAGGATAGCTGTAGAAATTGGAAAGGCTGTTGGCCTGTATTCAGGCAAGTTGTAGAAATTGCAAAGGCTGTAGGCCTGTGTCCAGGATAGCTGTAGAAATTGGAAAGGCTATTGGCCTGTGTCCAGGCAAGATGTAGAAATAGTTAAGGTTGTAGGCCTGTGTCCATGTTAGCTGTAGAAATTGGAAGGCTGTAGGCCTGTGTCCAGACAAGCTGTAAAAACTGAAAACCAGATCTTGCTGGGCTGGCTAACATTTACCTTGCATTTTTCCATATTAATTCTACTGCAAATGGCACTGGGTTTGTTAATGCCTTTGTATGGTCTTACAGATGTTCATTATATCATGCTGTGGAGGAATTAAATCCAAAATGACTTCTAGACTGACAACTAGACTGCAAATTAGGACTCAGTATTCCTGGCTATTAATTCCTATATTAAGGTTGAGCTTCAGATAATTAAATCTTGATGCAACTCAGCACTGACTGCATTCCGTGTCAAAAGGAGCATTCCAAATTACAGCACAATCATACAAAATTACAAGCATTCAGTCTGATTAAAATCAGATCTCCACTATTAGAGTGAAGATCTGACAGTGACTGCATAAGGGTCATATTCTGACCTCTGAATTAGCCAATGGAAATGCAACTTTCAGAAAACTGAAAGTGAATCAAATAATTTAACTTTAATTTATGCTCTTCAGCCATACTGCTCAGTCTCCCAAATGTCAAAATATAAGACTTCATCTGATTGGCTGATAAAATTAGCAATTATGGTACTAACAAAGGTCACAAGAACATGGCCCATAAGTGGTCACTTGTCAGATCTTCCCATAGGACAGTGGAGATCTGATTTTAAGCAGACGGTACTGCCTTGTTATGCAACTAGGCAATGTTTGGGTTCCTTGTCACAGCAGTCCTTCAAAATGACCACAAAATCATACAAAACTGCAATGTCCTTTTAAGCAACTCACCACTTTTGGGGTTTTCCATGTCACAAAGAGCATTCAAAATGACAGTAACCTTATACAAAATTTATATACCTTGTATTGAAATTGTAAGCAACTCAGCACTGTTTGGGTTCCTTGTCATAACATTTAAAATGACAGCAATGTATAAAATTGCATACCTTGCTAATGCAGTAAATTTATGAATGGTGCTTCACTTTGTAGTTCAATGAAATCATTCTCTAAGCAATAACTGACTCTGGCAAGTACAAATAAATTCTTCCACTCCCCCTACAGACTTGTGATACTTTCAAAGTACCAAAATATTCCAAGTCCTGAATAAATTCTATAAGGCCTTATATCTTTTTTCAAGGTCTTCCATCTCCAAATGCCAATGAAAGTTGACTGGGTTTTTTTTTCCATGTGTGAGTAAATTCTGTAAGGCCTGATATTTTTTCTCAAGGGTCTTCTATTTGCAAAATGCCAAGGAAAGTTGACCATCATTTTACCATCCATGTCATTGATTCACATTGTGTGGAATTTGCAAATGATCATGAATGAAACATTACTTAATAGATGATATAGTTTTACTCCAACACACACACACACACACACACACACACACACACACACACACACACACACACACACACACACACAATGAAAAAGGTCACTTAAGCTGGCCATAAATAAAATAATAACTGACAATAAAAAATAAATCAAATTTTTTCTTATCAAATACATAAATACTTGGTTATTTTGGAGGATTGAATTTATTCAGCTTTACATATTTACTGACATTACCTCAGTTTTCTACAAGGTAAACAAGCCCTTAGCAACAGTTTTCTACAAGGTAAACAAGCCCTTAGCAACAGTTTTCTACAAGGTAAACAAGCCCTTAGCAACATATTTACAGCAAGAAATACACTGCTAAAAATTTACAAAGTTGTCATACTTTCATTGACTTCATATTTCTCCTTCATAGGACTGTTATTGTGATTATTACAATTTTATAAAAATGTATCTTTTTCATTATTAAGTAAGAGACAGAATCAGAAATTATGTCATGATGTCCAATCTGTTCCAGAGTTCATCGCAATATGTTATTTAAAGGTGTGTGTCTGTCTCCGTGTGTTTTGGATTTTTAATGTAGCTTTAAAAATATCTTCCATCATATCACTACAATGTCGCAGTGTGGCAGTTAATAATGATGTCTAGCACTGAGGCATCATACCGCAGACATGTGGCATCAAGTTCCACCCAGTCATATTATCCTGACACTAGGCTGACTGATGCCTAACACTAATCTCTTAATGCTGAACACCAAGTAAGGCAGCTGCTAGTACCATTTTTATACGTCTTTGGTATGACTCGGCTGGGGTTCAAACCCGAGACCTCCCATATATAAGGCAGATGCTTTAACCATTAGGCCACAGAACTGGTCTATTTCAAAGGAAAAAAGTGAAATAATTTTGATGATGTCATAATTTAATGTTTATTTTGAGCTGCACAGTAAGAATAAATTTTTACAAGATCATCCTTAAAACCAATTCTGAGGCAAAATCTACTAGCAGTGAGGGCGTAAAACTTGCAAGATGTTTTTTGCCAATAAGTAGCACCAAAAGGACAGGAAGTTGCTAACATATGACAATACTTACTCTGCATATGCAATTTTTTTTTCAAAGTTGACATAATTGAAATCTTGCTGTAGCTGCTTAATCCTGAATGAAAGTTTAAACAATGACTTAAATATAAACATTATATTCGCGTGATATTATGTCTGGCATGTACAAATGTCTGGGAACACATATACTCTGACTAAGCTTTATTTGAATAGAGTCATTAAAAAATTAATTAAACTAATTATTTCTACAATTCATTATTCACACCCACAATAAAATTTAAGACTTTCATACTTCTCAAAATAAGTGTGGAATCTGCACCTTAATATAATACTTTCTCATTATAAAGCTAACCTTGGGAATCAAACAAAATTGACCACCTTTTTCTAAGATGTTGCATATTATCACCTAATGAAATGGGATCCATGACTATACCTTATAACAGAAACTGCATTAAAATAAAGAAACTTACAGTGAGGGAATGCTACATAAGTTGAATATACAACAAACAATATTTTTATCTATTTTTCCCACCGATATGCTCATTGCATGACCTATACAAATCCTGTAATGCAGCTCTCCATGGTGGAACCTTCTTCTCAACTAGAAACTTCTCCCAAACATGTATTATCTTGGAACAAACAACCATAATATAGGGCAACCTGTAACGTCAAATATAGAGCAGGTTGTTGAGGAATATTGCTGTGGTGTAACTTCAAATATAGAGCAGGTTGTTGAGGAATATTGCTGTGGTGAAACTTCAAATATATAGCAGATTGTTGAGGAATATTGCTGTGGTGAAACTTCAAATATAGAGCAGGTTGTTAAAGAATATTGCTGTAGTGTAACTTCAAATATAAAGCAAGTTGTTGAGGAATATTGCTGTGGTGTAACTTTAAATATAGAGCAGGCTGTTGAGGAATATTTCTGTGGTGTAACTTTAAATATAGAGCAGGTTGTTGAGGAATATTGCTGTAGTGTAACTTCAAATATATAGCAGGTTGTTGAAGAATATTGCTGTGGTGTAACTTCAAATATAGAGCAGGTTGTGAGGAATACAGCTGTGATAAAACTTTCATCATACAAGTTGCTCCAATCATGTTTGCTGTCACTTTATTTTCAATACCCCTTTGTTTGGAATGTAGTGTCTGTCTGCATTACAAAAGCCTTCTGAATACAAAAGGTATCAGTTTACTCAACAAAGTCATATAAACTTGTTAAGGTCCTGTTTGGTTCATTTATAAAACGTGAAATTAGATTTTTCTGTCAGACATGTCTATGAATAGCTCACATGGGTGATTAATTACAGGTGAAAATACAAGCTGACTGGTATTTAACAGATATGCCTTTCAACTCAGAACTCTGTTGGCTCTAACATTATACTGTACCATTGGACTTGTGACAAGAGGAATAGATGTCTGATTACCACCATTGGACTGGCCCAGATTAGCTATTGTGGCATGTCCTTGGAGAAAGATATTTTACTTGCTTTGACATGATATAACCTTAAAAGTGTTGCTGTGCCATGAAACACCAAACATTCGACTCTGTTTCTAAAAAATAAAATAAATTTGTTAGTTCCCTTATAAGGGAGTTATGGAAACTAAGTTGGTAGAGTGTTGGATATGTAATCCAAGGTTATAGGTTTGATGCCCACCCAGAGCAGGCCAGGTTGATTGCTTCAGTGTGTCCCTCAGAATGACACTTACCTCAGACTTCCTCTGTATGATATATCCAATAATATGGTTGGATAAGTGCTTCTTAGAACAGACAAATACAAAACACTAAACACTTGTAATGAAAACCATCACTGATTATATAAAGTTTGGCTCACATGTCCTACAGGTTTTTGATTTGCTATTAGTTGAATTCTCAAGGCACTAATGATAGAGATGAGTAAGCATAATTCAGTGTAGACTCCTACTGAAATCATCTGAATAGCAAAAACAGAAACAATGGAAAATCCATCTTGGTAACCACAGCAACTGACTAAACTTTTTTTGTGTTTTAAAAAATGACATCAAATTATTGATGACTGTACAAGTAATTTCACTGTTGTTGTTTATTCGTATATGTAAATGCTCTGCACAACTGGACACATTATTTCTATTTAACTTTGAAAAGATAACTAAATGACCAAAAATGATAAGACTACACTGATGGTCATCTTGAAAAATAACAAGTTTCTTTTAGATAACTACTCTTCAATTCCAGAAAACATTTACAGTCTACAAAGAAACTAAATGGAAGGAGAAATGTGCATCATTCTACCCAGTACTATTTGAGATTTAATGAGAAAAAGCCATTTAATTGGAGGGGGGGAGTTTTACAATTCAACTATTGAAAATATAGACAATTCTTTCAAAGCAAAACCTTGAGTGTAGATGTTCTTTAACCTAAATATCACTTAATTAATATTCAGTCTAAAAGAAACACTGACCACAAAGGGATATTTTTAAAAATGTGTAGGGCAGTAGTTCAAGTCACATGTTTCATTCATTTTGAGCACATGATCCAATTTTAAAAAAATGTTTGTTGTGAATAGAAGTGCAAAAATCAATATCATTAACAGACAAATGTCACTGGTCATCCCTTAATTCTTGAGTCGCCAAATGATACAACTAAGGCATATAACTTTTCATCCCTGACAAAATAGTTAACATAAGGCATCTAAGTCCAATGTCAGCTTTTACAACTTTTTCTTATAAAAAAATGTACTGTAAAACTGAATTTTTTAAAATTAAATAAAATTTATTTCATAGACTTTATTATTCCATCAAATAAAACCATGTATATATCCATGAAATTTTGTCTAAATGAGAAATTTCTGACTTGATCTAAAAGTATCTCCCTAAAATGTAGTCAGATTAACAATCTGGATGAAGAGGTGGTTCAGAACCATTGTGGTCTGAGTCAACACAAGCATTTACACACAATTTACATAATACATTTCTTAGACGTTATATACTGTATACCATTGAAGACCACAGTTTACTTACAACTTTAATTACCAGTAATTGTTTCAAATATGTATGTCTAAAATCAGATTTGTTTAGATTTCAAAATAAAGTTTGTTTAATTTATTGAAAAACAGTATATTAATCATTCCTAATAAAATTCTGACCCAATACTTAATGGCAAAGCACAAAGTAGAATATGGATTGAAATCATGTACTTGATAAGACTCTTTTTCTCTTTTTAACCGTTTTGTGTTGAAATGATCTCTTTTTAACCATTTTGTGTTAAAACGATAACTTTTTAACCGTTTTGTGTTGAAATGATTTTTTAAAACTGTTTTGTGTTGAAACCATCTCTTTTTAACTGTTTGGCACTGACACTGTCTGTGATATTCTTGAGCAAATAACAAGGTTTTCAAGCTTGCTATAAGGGTGCAAATTTCTGTAGCTCTATAAAGAGTACATTAATTCAGGCAGGTGAATGATTAATCAGATTTATGGGGACAGGTGCATGTCAAATCACTATACTGCAAGGATTTTTAATGTCTGTAGGTAAAAGTAAGTGATTCTTAATTAAGCCTTCAGTTTTTTTTTAACAGTTAGACAGACTGGAAGTACAAGGTTAACTCCAAACTTTGTATCCAAAAATGTCTAAATTGAAATTGTCCAGAATCAGTTATTTGGTAAGTCAGCCATACTGGATGTAATATCAATATCATTTCAGTCTGGTAATGAAAAACCCAATAGCAATATGGCTATCCATTCAGCAACAGAGTTAATATATTCAAAATGGCCTCCACTGTGGCCATAAGAGATAGAAAGATATTCAAAATGGCCTCCACTGTGGTCATAAGAGATAGAAAGATATTCATGAGGGTCTCCGTGGTGGCCATACTGAATAATAATGAGATTATCAAGAGGGTTGCCATGGAGGCCATACTGGATGCCAGATTAGCAATCATTTCATTTAGGACCAAATAGACAAAATAACAAGTACTTTGGTAGCAGTAACAAGATTTTCAGGATGGCTGCCCTAGCTTGATGTCATGTTGTCCCATTTTCATTCAGGACATAATAGGTATAGGGAAGGAAGCAATAAAAAAATTTTCAAGATGGCCACTAAGGATGCCATATTGGATGTTAGTGGTCCAAGTCACACCATTACATTTAGGAATAACTAGACTTGGAATGCTATCTATGTAAAGTTTTGTGGGATTCCTCCAAGTAGTTTAGCAGGAGTAGCATCACAAACATGCCCTACAGATAGATGACAGATAACCATACATACCATTCAATCTTCAGGTCCATGATCTGTAATACTAAAAACTAAAAATTGTCCAAAAAGAATAGACCATCCCATAAGCTCTGCTGGTCAGAGCTGGTCTATGTTCAGCAAAGCCAAACCTATCTGAAAAGTACTCTATACATCATGTAGTTTCCTTGCCAACAAGATGACAGACGGCTCTGTTATTTGGGGGAGCATGAAGTCAAGTAAAGCAGTACCTACATATTTTATCTGTGACTGGGTAAGTGTTTACATAAATTATGCAAAATATATGCATTCCAGATGTATATACATTTCATGGCAAAGGTTTGGGTCAGTTTTCAAACAAGTCAGCCAAGGTTAAAATTTCTGTGTTTAGATAAAGAAAGTAACAAATAGTATAACTCAATGATAATTTTGGTACTCATACATTTACTTGAAAAGTTGAAATAAATCAGACAGTCTTTGAACAAACATGGGCAGTCTACATAAAGTAACTTGACCAGTATGAATTGCAGATATGCTTGCTTACAGTGGACCCTTAAAACATAATATGATACATTGGAATGTTATAGAAACAGATGAATCTACCAGGAT